CAAGAGTTCGTTCTGTGTTGCTGCTTTTTATAGTAATACAGATTCAATCATAGCCACTATAGGATGGAATCTATATCAAATGATCAACAGCAAAATTATGAACTATTTCCCTTTTCTACATTCTAGAAAATCTACGTTATGCAACAGAATTAAAATACATTTTTTCCATCTAAAACAATCTTTAGAAATTGTTTAGTAATACAGGCATCACAGAAAAGAACAAAGAATTGTTATTAGAGAAGCACTATTGTTCAAAGGCTGTCAAAGTTTCCAGGAGTCTGAGTGCCGCTGTCCTTATCTGGTGCTGCCAGTGAGCTACTGTGCAAACGAACTCTAGTCATTTCCCCTCTTTATGCCTATTTTTTTTTCTGTCTATACAATGGAGATTAAGTAGTTTGCATGGCAAATACCACTGAGATCTAAGGACAACAAATATCCATAAAACAGATCAGCTATTACTATTTCAAAAATAATCTGTTTGCGTCTTATGGCTGCAGCTTTTTTACACATTTAGGGGCTCTGTATGGTATTTGATTTTTTACTATATTGAATGAAGGTTACATAGAGATAGCTACTGAATTTATGATCAATAGAAAATTGCATTTTTTTTCTCCCAATTCTTTCCAATGATCCAGCAGAACACATCAATATAGAGCTCTGAATTGATGCTGTTTCCCTATTTCATGCCCTGTTTAAGTTCCCTGGGGATGACAGATTAATTTAATTAGTTTTATTGAACTGCCTAGTTGCTTTTATTGGCAAATCCACTAACAGGAAGAAGGCTGCAAATTTCTCTCGGGGTTAGCATTGTCCTACTGGTCCATTTTTAAAATTAAAGTGAATTTACTGTCATTTCTTATATAGTTTTCTGCTATGCTTTCTGCTCTTAAGACTCACATTTGTAAAGTGCCTCCACTGACACTTATGTAGGAAGTTTAAAGTTGTTGTTTTTCCTAAATGCGGTTAACGAAAAAAGGAAGCAGACAGCTACCATCAAATGGACTGTGAACTAAATATATCGCTCCGCTCTCACTGGGGAATTAAATTAATCTGATCACAACACAGAATATGGCTCTTGCATGCCACCTGGAAGCAGAGAAGTGGTCAGCCACTTTCCAACTTCCTCCACTTGACAGCTTGCTCGGCACACAAGCATAAAAACAACAGCACTGAGGCTATGAGGTATATACCCAAGGTTCAATTTGCTTAGAGATTGGCCTGCTCAAAATCCTCAGACTTCAACACACTGCCAGGCAGTGTGAGGTATATGAAACAGAACAAAATTAACAG